GGCCTTCATCTGGATCACCTCCTGTCGCAGGGTTTCAGTCATCTTAGAGTGGCTTAGAGCAGCCATCTTGCAATCTCAGTGAATATTGGAGGAATGCTGACAGTTAAATAGGGTTTGTTATATAATTAAGGAAATTAGCACCAGGAGTTCTTTTTCAAATATCTAATTTTTTATACTGTGCTTCAGAATACAATTAATTTATGAAATATGCTTAAAAAAACTGCCCTTCTACTCCTGTTAGGACTAAGCAGTGACCTTGAAATTTAGGAAATTGTAGGTTGTTCTCTAATTTTGATCTCCACTGTATATTGCAGGACATTATGGGTGTATACAGGACATATTGTAGTTTTGTTTTTTTTTGCCAAAAAAGTTGCTTAAGAACTATTACGCTCTCACTGTAATGTGGGCTAAAATGACAAAAAAAAGCCCCACAAAAATCATAAAAGTGTTTGCGTTGATGCTATATACCAGGTGCATTGTGTAAACGACAGACCAAAAATTTAACAAAAGTTGTCATTCACTAAATATCCTCTCAGATCTTTTCAATGAAGCAGTTTACACACAGAGATTGATTCATTCGTGAATTGGACCGATCTGGAATTTAGCACACAAGTCACATAGATGTTTTTTATTATATTTTATGGCGCTTTTCTGTCATTTTTGAGCTTGACATCCACTGGTGGAGAAATTGAGTAATCAGTCGCCCATTTTTATGGTAAAATCCCTCTTTCTGGGATTTATGGATTATGTGGCTCTCTATACTTTTAGTACAGGCCTGTTTAGTGCCTAATACTTAGATATGCACATTCATCATTGGAAAGAGTTTGTACACTTAGGCTTGACAAACTTGCACTACTGGTCCCTACAGAGTAATATTTCCACTCTTCTTCTGCTGCTGCTGTTTTCCTTCCCCTGTCCTGCTGTGCTGTATATTCAAACATATTAGGCATTTTGGGGATCGTAATACACGTTGGCTAAAGCTTTTGGATTTTGGTGCCTGTATAGTTGTTGGTTTCTAAATGTGCTTTTATGTAGCAGTTATTAAAAGCTTAAATATATTAACTGCACTACTTTTTTTCTTCTCAATGACCCTTAAGTTGTTCTGCGGTAGAGTTAGGAATGAGAACCAGCAAAAACTTTTAAGACCCTTCACAGCTGGCACGTAACTGACCTTCAGTGTTGAAATGGGGTTGAAATAATATTAGTTGTTGTATTAATGTTGAAACAAATGTTGAAACCATGTTAGTTCTAATGTTGTAAAGAGGTAAACAAAAAGCTTCTGAATCAATGTTTAAATTCAGTAAATGCAAAATGAATTGTTGTCCAGATATACAGTAATATAATATTTTGATTGACATCCCTTTTTATAAGCCAAGCCTTTTCTGTATACTATTTGCTTAATGTGTGTGATATTGTACTATGTGAGTACTATTTTATTTTGTTACTGTGACTGGATTGTGTTTAAAATGCATCTCCACTTGTGGGAAAATGTCTAGATCTTTTTTTTTTTTTTTTCATTTTATTATGCTGTCAAAAAACAAAATAGAAACAGACAAACAGAAAATTGACAAACAAAAAGAAAAGTCCTATTTTTGTATTAAAGTATTAAATGTGGCTGTGTAAAATTGTATTTTGCATCTACGTGACCAAAAATGTACATTTTAATCTTGCATTAAAATGTATTTCTAAAATAAAAGTGCAATTCAACAAGAAATGCTTTATGGTGCGTTGCTTTTACGACTATTTTAACTGTGTATGTTAGACATAAATGCATTGAATTTTTGACTTTTGTAATTGTTAATAAGCTGTCAGTTATTTATAGTATAAGCAATATATACATTTACAGTGTGAGTGCATATGAATGTTAAAACATGATATACTGAGGCGGAGAAACCCTCTCATACAGTTTTCATCTCAAATCAATCATCATGAGAACTATGGCATGTTGGCTGACAAGGTTTCTTTTCCTTTTTGTGATTTTATTTAGAAGCCAAAATACAGTTGACACTAACAGTTGTTAAACCTCAAACGTATGTCTTCATTGTACAGACAGATTATGGATAGTCATACCCATCAGAAAGCAGACATTTATGACTTCTTAAGAAAGTAGTTGTATTAATTGATTTGCTTGTTTCATATTTACCTAGATCTCCACCCTACACTAGAAACGGTGGGCGATGAGCCAAGCGACGCTTTTATGAGTCACACACATTCCCCTGTGCAATTATAAAGTTCCTTCGTTCCTGTCATACTATCGGAGAGCTTGAACACTGGACTGCTAATCCAAACATGACAGCTGTGCACATTAAAGGCCGTTTTGGTGCTGCGTTTGGCATGTTCTGCTCATAATTAGTAGAATCATTGTTTTGTGCCAATATTACTTCAAAAACATTTTGTTCTCCACTGAGTTTTGTTTCAGATGGGCACTTACCAGTGCTCAAGCAGAAAGTGAATGTGAACCGCAGAACGGTGAGTGTTCATACAGTATATATGCTCCTGTGCAAAATGTTAATATGCAAATCATTTGAGATTAGAATCTCCTGACCTCTTTGACCCTAAAACTACAGAAAGGCCTCAGGGGACGTTAACGGAGAGCAGTTGGGTGTGTGTTATTGTGTATCATAAAAAGATTCCTTTCATACAATAATTATGTAGCCTAATGTGTTTATATGAAGGTTTCAAATGCAAGTGAGCTTTTTATGTAAGGGATAATCAACGGCTAGCCATGCATTAAAGGATTTTAAATCGCCTCCTCGAAGTGCATTTAAAATCCTTTAATGCACAGCTAGCCGTTGATTATCCCACTTATTCCATGGTCATTTGCCAAGTTATAGACCAGTTAAAACTAGTATTGCTCTTTGCAGCGCAATATTTGACCGAATGGGTAAAAATGACAGTTATTTTCCTCAGTTATGGCACGTTAGCTCTAGCATTCTGCCCGCTTCAAATCATACACAGAGATGAAATAGTGCGGTAAGATCACATTTATTTGAATTAATTATAGCATGTATTTCAATTAATTATCGATCGAGAGAGAGAGAGAGAGATATGACAGTTGTGTGTCAGTTACCTGTTTGCTGTGTCTGCGCGTCTCCCTCTACAAACAATTACTTCAAAAACAGCGATTTTATCACCTCATTGCTGGGGAATATAATGTAGCGATCTAGTATCTATCTTTTATTTTAGTAATATTAGTTTATGTGTGTGTGCAGCACAATCTGCGATCTCTCTCTCTATCTCCGTGTGTGTGAGTGTGAGTGTGAGTGTGTGTGTGCGAGCGAGTGATGCGTGTTGGTTAGTGTGCCTCAATTAAAGCAGCGCATTAATATAGAACGGTGATTAAACTGACTTTGAATCTGTGCATTAAACGGTTTTACTGCATACCTGCCAGCCAATCAGAATCCAGTATTGAGACAGACCATGGAATATATACTCCGAAAACCCTAATAAGTTGACTGAACTCGATTGTGTAAACTTTTTCCCTCAATTGAGTAATGTGGTATCCCAAAATTTAAGTTCACTTAAATTAATGGCCTTTTGCACTCTATTTCAAATTTTAAGTTCACTTGATTTGTTATTCGTATATTGTACTTAAATAATTAAGTTCACTTAACGTGGTGTTCATTTCATGTGTACTTATGTTAACTTAAAAATTTAAAATTACTTTAAATTTAATTTCTGCAATCTTACTTTAGTGAAATAAAACAAAGTGTATTGGCAGCCTTTTATTGACCAACATTTCACCATATTAAAGAAATCACAATACACGATATACTGTAATGAAATTGGAATTAGTCACAACCACAATGTACAGATGGTAACAATAGTAATATTAACTACAGCACTACATCAACATACATACATACATACATACACAAACATACAGTGGGCCTTTAAATGACTCAGCTAAATGACTCCCGACGCATGTGGCAGGGACTGAGGACCATGGGTGCGTCCGAAATCGCATACTACTTAGTAGGTACTACATTTGAATTTGAACGTACTACTCGACCGTTAAAAAAGTACGTTCTATATAGTATGAATGAGAGTAGTATGAATGGAATTCGGACGTACTACATCCGCCATGTTGATGTTGTCACGTGACATGCGTCTTCACAACAGCGCCAACATTTAAAGAGCCCGCACTACTGCGCGAACATCAGCAATGTTTCACGTTATTCTTACCGCTTTCATCGCGTTTTAACCTTGATTGGATCAACAGCTCAGAGGAGGCTTCTAGCTGCTCGCAGATCACTGATTTTTTAGGATTACTGATAAACTACTGTCATTTGATTTGTATTATTTGTATTTGTTACTTATTTTAATTTTAGTTAAATTATGTCTGAATTTATTATGTCTGTATAGGTCTTTTATTAAGTTTTTAGTTTTATTTAATTTGAGTTATTTTAATACTTCAACAAACTAAATGGAAATGAAATAATATATATATTGAATTTATAAATGTGTATGTGTGTGTATATATATATATGTGAGTGTGTGGTTGTACATACACGTCGTTTTTTTTTTGTTTTTTTTTGGTGTTTGGCTTAGTGTTATGTTAGAATCGTTATTATACTCATACCTTTTGTTCTTTACTATTTTGAATTGTTTTTAGCTTTATGAAATTTTGTTGTATGCATTTGTCATTTTTATTTACCTATTTAGCTAGCACATTTTACCTCAGAATAAAAAGGCATGTCTGTGAACACCATGACAGAGGCTCATTTGGAGCAACAAAATAAAGTAATTTATTGTTATAAATAAATGCATAAAAATACACAGGACAAACAAAAGACATGAATCAATGAATAAACTTGATGTGTGATTGTGTGTGTGTGTTTTTTTGTTTGTGTGTGTGTGCGCGTGTGTGTTTGTTTGTGTGTGTGTGCGCGAGTGATGTGTGTTGGTTAGTGTGCATCAATTAAAACAGCGCATTAATATGGAACGGTGATTAAACTGACTTGGAACTACCTGTGCATTAAACGGATTCATTGCATACCCGCCAGCCAATCAGAATCCAGTATTCAGACAGACCATGGAATAAGAGTAAGAATATTGGGCAGCACTTAACTGAATTTAACGTACAACGTGAAGCTCATGTAGTGAGTGGTTATGTTGTACGTTATATGGAGTAGGGCTGGACTGGACATTTTTTGGTCCAAACGGTCCACCACTGCGGTCAGAATCGTTCAGTCGGACAGCACCCGTACCCTATATAGGTATACACTGTCATTCAAAATACACACACACACATTTGATGAATTGCTGATGGATACAATCAAGTCCGGCCTACATTATATCTTGTTGAATATTTTGTTTCACTCATGCATGTATGCAATTTTTATTAAAAGTTGTGTAGGCCTACACAAGTTAACAAAATCATTTTTGCTACTTCATTTTGTCATTTTTATTCGTTTTGTTCAGTTGTTCAGTCAAAATCTAAAGTGTTTATTCAGTGAGGACTAAATAAAAGCAACAGAATCTGTAAAGTAGTATACGCAGCTCTCCTGGACATGATCTCTGTGGGTTTGTGCGGAGTCGACTTTGTCTTGCCACACAGCATTCACTTCCTGAGGCCCCTCTTGGTTCTCTTTGACCTATAGAAGGAAATAATAGCCAAGAGCCTTTAGTTTAACTCACATCTGCAAAACATGATTTGTTTGTCAAATTTAGGAGTGCACTAGCATATGACCTCAGAGCTGATAGAAACTGACTAAAAATGTAAGGGTTTATTATGTATTTTTACAAGCTAACACCAGAATAGTCCTCTGATAATAAGCACAAAAAAATAAACATAAAAAAAAAAATTTTAGATGAAATAGTCAGTTTTCAATCAGACAGGGCGCCTTTCATTTAGCTAGTAATTTTTGCTGTCTCAAAGGCCCTGTTTACACCTGGTATTAAGATGCGTTTTGGTCGATCGGATCACAAGTAGACGAGGGGAACACATTCCCGTTCACACCTGGTGTTTTAATCCGTCTCTTCTGTCCACTTCCGACCACTTCTGTCCTGATTTCTTTTGAGGGGAGCATCTGATCTTTAGATCAAATATTGCTCGCACAATTTACGTACAATTGACCTTTTTTTCCCTCCAAAGCTATTTTTAAAACTTTTACTGCATGGATAAAAATTCTAATAAACATCTATTAGTCAAAAAATAAATAAATAAAATAAATCAATCAATATAACCTTAGTCGCCTAAAATTTGTCAGCAAATCCTTTACATTTTACCTATTCAGAACAGATTAAAATAAAAATTAGAAATGATAAGTAGCTATAAAATAATAGTAAAAAAATAAAATATACAATTCTAAAATAAAACACAAATTATAATGTATTCGTTATAAAGTGCGAATATAAAGAGGCTCGGCGCGATCACCGATATTGTCCTCATCACAGCGGGAAAAAATAAAATCTGACATCATTGAGACTGTAAAGGGTTTACTTTTAATTATGCATATTCACAATAAGAACAAAACTATGGCTTTGTAAAAGAAAGAAACAAAGGATGCGCTTTCAAGCCTGTTTCCTTAAACTTCTGGTGCGGCCATAAAAAAATGAAACGAAACTGATTATTTCCCCCTTTGTTTTGTTAATTTGTTAATTATTTAACTGAAACATATTTCTTGTAGGCCTATTTATTTTATTCCTATGTCATTTTCAGTTTTTCTCTGTTTTCTCCTGTTGATGCGCATGCAAAAACCATTGAAAAGAAAAACTTTTATTTTAATGGGTAACATAGGGGTGATTCTATAATTGGAGATACATTTGGCATTGCAGAAAGTTAAGAAAAAAAACTTTTCACTAACAATTTTTTTTTTTTTTT